GTTTTACAGTTTCCACCCAAACTCTCTTGAAGCAGTCTTGTGAGCGTAGAATTCCGGAATGGAACATGAGTCTTCTTTCCTTCGGCTAAAGCTTGGATTACGTTTCTGACAACAATAACAAAGGGAAGCTCATTCTTTTCATAGTGCAGATATGTCAAAAAAAATTAACAAAATTTTTACGGTCACGCGCAAAAACGGCGAGATGATATTAGATATATACGTCTTCCTCAGCGAAATATTTTGCTTCATTTTCCCCTCAAACGACAAGGAACGAACTGTTTTATTGAATAATAACAACGGACGAGGGCTACAAGCTTGTCCGATTTTGTTAGCAAATCTTTGTTCAGGTCACGCGAGGATTTTTGACTCTTATAATCAGCACTCCGGCACTTGTCACGTGAGCTTGATGTCATCAATATACGCCATACTACGCACGCAACGTCTGCGATGAAATTTGCTGGCTCAGTCAACTTAACAAAGACAAGATTCCAAACAATAAATCTATTCTATTTGTCAACTTGTTGGCCTGAATAACCACGCTTGGGGTGAGCAAAATATGGGAAGAAGTGGGGAGGGGGTGAGCAAAAAAGGGGGAACGGGTGGGGAGGAAACGATCCCAATCCCTTCTCCTACTCCTTATTTTTTGCACTCGCTCGCTGTTTCGTTCCTTTTGCGTGCTTTTGGAAATGAACGCCTGCTACGCAGGCTAGGCTAAATGTTGGAAACATATTCTCACCCTAGCTCGAGCAAGGATGAGTTAATATGCTGTGCTTCACTCAGTCGCTCTCCCTCTGCGTGAGTTTTCTTGAGTCGCTCACTGCCAGCCAAGTCGCACCTACAATTCACAAACAACATATCATTAGAGATATTCAGACGTTTGACACAACTGAATCCCGTATTAAACAAAAAACCTTAATTTCTGGCGCATTGACTACAGAAATACAACTGCTTGCTGCAATGATACACTTAATAAGCGAGATTAGATTGTTATTTTCAGTGAGCTTTACAAACTTGTCTACCATACATGCGGGAAAAAGTAATTTTAGCCCAAGATTTTGACCCTAAGTGTGTGCCCAGATTCGCAGTACGAGTAAGGCTGTTCTACTATACTTCATATCAGAACTGTACTGATATTTTTTCATGCTAGAGGTCCGGAGTTTCGACTTTTTCCTCTTCACAGGCTTAAAAGTATAACAATCTTCTATCTTCGCGAAGCCGCGTTATTTTAAAAATCAAAAAATATGACACAAATTACATACAAGTATATTTTCCCTCGAATAAGCACGTCATCGTCAAATGCTACCATTTTTGCAAACGAATCATCTTCCGTGTCTCCATTCTAGAACACAAAAAAAACACAGCTGACATAAGAAAGTAGAATTGCAATACGATCACTAACAGAATCCATTTGTCGTGAATTCAGATGCTATGATGTCTTTCTGTTTGATTAGTTACCAATACTCTTTACCAATATTTCAGTTTCCATGGTAATGGACTGCTGTTGCTGTATCAACGTAACACTCTGGAGTCGCGTCGTGCTACGTAAGTCAGAGTTAAGTGTATTCCGGCGCCAAGCTGTTTTGTATGCTTTAGACCGGGCTATAAAAACACAATCAATACAGGAAGGCACAGGTATGATAAAATTCCCTACCTCTTCGGTTACCTCAGCTAGTGAATCTACTTCTAAATCCTGGTGAATTCAGAACATGGAGAAACTAGTGTTATTGACAAAAGAAGTGTATATATCATAACTTGGAAGTTGCTTTTCCTTAGCCTGCTTTTTTAAATGAAATTTGTATCTGAAAATAATGTTTGAGTGTATTGTTCTAAAATTCATTATAAGTACTTAATCGAACTGTGCATAACATAACATAACGTAACGCAACGTAACATAACAAAACACTTCATTTACACACGGACGTATATGAACTTTTTTACAGTTACAGTGTTTAAAATAGCAGCCCATTTTCAATGTAACGAAATCACATCAAAGATGCTAGGCATCAACAAAAAAAGAACTTATCATCTTGACTGTTAAAAGCGTAAAATTCAGTCGAGGATTACTTCTTGTAGCAGTGATTTGGTGAAAAAGAAAAGAAAAGAATCACAAGAACACATAGTTAGAACTATTTTGATAAATTAACTACTCTATACCGTCATTTTTTTTTCTTGGTGACAATTAACAAACCTCGCTGTTTTTGCTGCTGCCCGCTTCCAGTCCTTCCTTAGGATCTCGTACATTTGCACCTGAACCAACATAAAACAACGTATCGTCATGTCAGTCGATACCCCCAGGAAATAAATTCTTCTCGAGGGTGACGGGCCACTTGGAAATGCCCCTAGCTTTGTTATATGTTCTCTTATTCTTTGCAAAGCAATATTTGCTGTTCATGGACACATTGACGCAAACATTTTCCACCGAGATCTCTTACGTCAACGAAAAGGTGCACATTGTAAAGAGACAGTGGTTTGTGTTTTACATCTCTTTTACAGATCGTACTGTCGAGAAATCTGCCGCGTTGATCAGCCTTGTGAGAACATCGTCCGCATGCAAAAAAAATTCACACCCAAATTTTAAACTCCTCTGAATGTGCCTGCCATCCATGATAAAGAAGGCTTCTCTTGTTGAAATATGCCTTATTAAGACACAAGAATATTTTTAGGCAGGACTCACCATGTTTGCTTGTTCCTTCAGTAAGAATCTTGTTCTTGTTTAGAGTTCTTTCAATTGTCATCTGACAAACCGAGTGCGACCTAAGGACAAACACAATCAAGAAGCTCAATCAAGATAATAAGAAATCAAACGGCGGCTCTTAGAAGGGTCAAGGGAGTGGGCAACCGTACGTTAAGTTTGAGCTTATTACTAAGTTTATGCTAATTTGGTCTAAACAAGGTATTAGCTTGACTTTTGAAGGAAGAATACAATTTTAAAATCAATTCACTATAATTTTAACATAAAGTTGGATCTCAAACCTGCTTGAATTCCTGTTCATTTTAGTTTCAGCGAAAACTAGTCTTTTCTTTCCCACGGTCAAAAGATTTAGCACTTCTGAAGGGCTTCGAACCACGAACTCTGAAAGGTTTTCCACATAAACACCTACGGATGAAAGAACAAAAAAATAAGGTTGTGATTTGACAATTAAACTGTCATCTCATGTGGAATTCTTCGGGAAAACTGATTTACAACTCAGCTTCATAATCACGCAAAAAAGAGGTCTGGTTTACCGGAGGCAAAAGAAGGTCAATTTGTTTAAATGTGCATAAATACAAACCTTTTACAGGATGTTCTCTCAAGCTTAGCTCAACCTTATTTGTAGAGTTCAACAAGTCGTAGATTTTCTCCTGGTAAATTTGTAAGTATGACATGGTCACCTGCCGAGGAAAATTGATGTTATTAGGTGGACAAAACCAGAAATGCTGATAGGTTTCAAATTCATGGATCATGTTATGGCTACACTACAGACACCTGTAGGAGGCGCGGGATTCGAGATCGAGCGGTCTGGGTTCGAGCCCGTTCTTGTCCCCAGAGCCTTCGTTTCTTTTGGTCACATGATTGGCAAAACTACTCGTAACGACATTTTAAAATGAGTATGGGGGCTGGAACCCTGGTAGGGGTCACTGCGTGTTCTAATACCAGATGCTCTACTCTCAAAGTTCCTCTCTTTACTCAGGAATACAAGTGGAGAGTTACCGGCGAATTAGCGAAATGTTGGAGGCGGGGGTAGGGCTATCTCGTACTGGGATACTATACCATCCAGTGGGGAGGGGTCACCAGAAAAGGTCACCTCGAGGCTATCAATATTATTGCTGTACCTTGTAATCATGGCGGTCATCCTGAGTTATTCTCTTGAAGCACCTTTCAATGACGCCAGCTGTTATACCATCAGGTGCCATTAGGGTATGGGTCTTTCCTGAAATGAGTGACAGAAATACGACGACAAATTCAACAACCGCGTGCGACAAAACGTTAGATCCAAAACAAACAAACAAACAAACAAACAAAAAAACAAGGAATTCTCTATATCAGACGACAAAAACATTTACCATAAATGAGTATTTTATACCGTAGCAATTCATAAGGTTTGAGGAGCTCAGTAACAGCATTCTTTCTGAGTTATTTTGGCCACGTACAAATTACTTTTAAACTGAAGGAAACCTGAAAATATTGGTTTACCGAGATAGAAAAACACCAAAGAGATAATAATAATAAACCATAAAGGAACAAGGTTAAGGATAAAGAAGATTAAAACGGATTATAAACGACGAATTTGAAAACTTTAGACTAAACGTTTTCAGATGGGCAAATCGTGACGTGACTCCCTTAACAACTTTCTGCTGTGAGCCAAAGTTTTCCAAACTGCTCACCAATGATCATAGGCACGCATAGCGTGCTGAGGACATAGCTGCAAAGCCCGTTGAGGACACGCCCATCCTAATTTGAACGCGCAATTATCATTATTTTCAATGATATTTATGGGTGCGTGGCTTCTTTAACTCAATTCTTGACCTGCCAAGATTCTATCGAGTTCGCTTCAAAAGCATCTTATTTACTTTTTAAAAGCTCGCTTCGTCTCTATGGGTAAACTGTTTCAACAACTTCACTGAGGAATTAATTATACCTGATCCTGTCTGCCCGTACGCCATCAGAGTTCCGTTAAAGCCATTCAGAGCAGCATTTACAAGAGGCCTGCTTATTGTACTGCATACCTGGAAAGAGATAAGACTGTAGTACTGCTAGCGCTATTTCTACTATGGAAGTAAGTGGATTTTAAACAGTTTCGATTAAGTCTCACCTCTGGGTTTGTGGCCTCTTTCGGGAAAACATGATCAAAATTGAACGTTTTCTCCCAGCTGTGTTTAGGATCAGCAACATGGATCTGAAATTAAGATAAAAATGTCAGTCACTTCCGAGTTCAAGGACTACAACGACGTCCCGTTTTTCCCCTTTCGCGTCTCCGGCACGGTTTCTCGACTCTCTCGAGAAACGTGTCATTTTTCGGATGTCGCGTCGCGTCTCTCGCGAGACCAATCGGAAAAGCTTGATCCTCTCACTAATTTTTTTCCGGGGAACTCAAGGGCAATGAGTGTGCCTGACGCCCTGCCTAGTCTTACATACCAACTGTTAACTGTGTCTTTTACATCAAGTTGTGGTAACTATGGTCCAGGGCCGGGTTGTTCAAAGCCAGATTAAGCTAACCCAGGATTAGCGAGAATTTTGATTTCAGTTTTGTAGCTTTTCCGTGAGGGTTTCTGTTTATATTATTTGTCCTTCAGTTTTGAACTTGCATAATCTCGAACCACACAAAACGTAAGCAGTGAAAAACATTTTTACACAACAAAAATTGATAGTTCGGTTAACTTTTAATACTGGGTTAGCGTTAACCAGCTTTCGAACAACCCGGCCCAGATTATAAAGCAACTGATTGTCAGAGTCACAGCTATAACAATGCGTGTTAGTTGCTAGCATGCGTAAACATGCTTTTAAAGAAACATAGACATCAAATTAATCATTACCCGATTTGTCTAGGAAGACGGAATGAGACTATGCTTGCAGGGTAATTAATCATGGTATAGACTGACATCTGCTACCAACAACATCAAGAACGTATTTCATAATACTTCAGTGGAAATAAAAGTGAAGCCTTGGAGCCGAATGGCTCATAGCTGCCGAAGCTTATCCCAGTTTCTGTAGCATGAAGCGGCTAGGAGTATTTCTACTCCCCCTGGACAGGTTGCTAGTCGATCGCAGGTCACTCCCTCGCAATTTGTTAGGTTTCCCTAACAGTTGCCAGTACCCATTTATACTTCTGGGTACAGAAGGCACTGTGAGAATTAAGTATCTTGCCCAAAGACCACGACACAGTGTCCCCGGCCAGGGCTTGAACCCGGACCGCTCGCTCCGGGAACGAGTGCACTAACCATGAGGCCACTGCGCCTCCCAAAGTGGCTTTTCACTTTATCATCCATGGATTCCGACTTATTAATTCCTACTTTTAATCAAACTCCCTCAGTTCATTTACAGAGAAAGAAATAGTGCAGTTCCAGAAAATATCCATACTCACTCCACAGAAGAGATTGGAATTTCCTGAGGGTTGGGGGTTCTGGAAGACCAAACAATTGAAAGAAATGTACAAAGCTTAAGTAGAATTTCCAAAGGGTTGGAGGTCTTAGAAAAAATCTGGAACTACACATTTCAATATCTTGACACTGGTCAGCTGTCAGTAGGCTGTATACTGGTCCATAGTGGTGGATCTAGGGGAGGGGCCCAGGGGACCCAGACCCCCCCTTACTTTGAGTTAAAAAAAAGGAAGAAAAGCCAGCAGGGCAAGCAACTCTCCCCCTCCCCCCCCCCTCTCTCTCTTTCTCTGTCTCTCCCTCAGCCCAAGGTCTGGCTCGGCCACTGGTCTATACTGCCTGGACTACCCTGAATGCCCTGAATGGAGAACACCTTTCTTAACAACATCTTGGTACTGTTCACATTTTAGGTTAGAACACATGAAGGAGCATGTGGCAGTGACATGTTACCAGCAACAACATTATGCACTGTTGACATGAGGAGACATGCTGCAAGCAAATCTTGCAGTGGCAAGCTGAAATAAAGTATTAGCACATAAGGGGATATATTGCTATAACATGTTCCTGCCGCATGCAACCACTACCCTTCCCCCACCTTGCCACCTCATTCGAAGGCACAGTTCCCACTTGAGGTTCGTACACATGAAAGGGCATGTCACAGTGACATGTTAGCAGTAACAAATTCATTTCTTGTTTACAGGAGGGGAAATGCAGCAAAGAAATCTTGCAGTGACAAGCTGAATTACAGTATCTGCACATGCAATGAGACATATTGTTGTAACATGTCCATGCTGCATGTCCCCNGTTGTCCCTACAATGCCTCTATAGGTGCAGTTCCGAACCTTATCACTGTGATAGCTCATAATAAAAACTTTTATATGTACTGTTATCAAAGTGAAACAGCCACAAACAGCGATGTTCAACACTCTGGTGTGACAAATTTTGATTATTTATTGAGAGAGAATAGTGTTCCTTATTGAAGGTTTTACCAAACCCATTTTATCACAGACAGTAGAAATCTTCACTACAAAACCTGGTACATCATAAAATATTTAGACTCAATGTCTTAAGGTCTCAAAACATGTCTCAAATGTGTGTCTTATTTTGCTGAGATTTTCTTTCTGTACATCAAAAGAAATGGCTTTACATGGTGCTACATTGCTCCTTATATATTCAAATGTAACACTCGATATTCTTTTCAACTAATAATTAGTCAAAATGATTTTTAATTTTACAGTGGACGTCTGCAAATGCAGCAGGCTTCCCGCTAAAACTGGAAATCTGTCTGTGTTTGCAAGCTACAGTCGATGTAAATCAGCTCTATTAACAACTCAAAAAAATATCAGCATCTACTTCCATATCTTGACCAGCTACTCTGCTTCGCCATTCATCTTATTCTTTGGAAAAAGATGGCAAAATCAGCCATTTACTCAACCAACAATTAAGACACTACCTCAAACTTTGTGGCAACCCTGGTACCTGGTTCATATTCCATGTGAAATGATAATTAAAAGATTGAAGAAGTTTTAATTATGTAGATGACATTATATGTATTGCCATGGTTACTACAAGTATCTAATTAAAGCTCTTTAAAACAATCTCCAAATATATTTCCATTAACTGAACATTTTTATCTTTCAATTCAAAACTTGCATTATTCTTACCCTTTCTCTGTGAATTCAAGAAAATGTAATGAGGAATTCAAGAGATGTATATAACAAATGTAATTCAATTGATGACAAATGACAGGAAATTAGACGTAATACCGAATGTTTCCTGCATGAAATATCAAAAAGGAAAATTGGAATCCCAAGTGATCTATGCATGATTTAGTATTCAAAAATCCCTCTGCACTCAAATGTTTAAATAGGGTAAAGTAACAAATATTGATGGCAAAGGTTTTCAACATGAATAACACTGTTTTGCAACATTGGCTGACACAGGTGAACTATATGCTTCCCTGTACCCTTCCCTCCAAACTGAAAATGACACTAATCAATTCACTCGCTCGCCCCTGTAACGGGCAGAATTCTTGCCAGTTTCGTTAACCTTCACTTCATACAATAATACTTCCGGCAGAAATTTCGTTAGGTTATTCCAAATATAAACAGCGACGTTTTCAGCCGTGGAACACGTGTCCGCGAAGAAAGGTACGTCCATATCGAGATTTTTATGATCCAAAGTTTGTAACACGCTTTCCATATGCTTTTTTAAGTCCGTTAAATTCATGACCATTCCAGTAATGGGATCAACAGGTCCACGGATGGTCACTTTCACCGTGTAATTATGACCATGTCCGTTCTTGTTGTTGCACTTTCCAAATATCGATCGATTTTCCTCGTCGCTCAACTTCGCGCTGTGAAGCCGATGACTCGCACAGAACGACTCTTTTCGTGTGATATACACCATTGGCCGTGTAGTTTTCGCTTTGGCTTCCAAGTAATGATCGTTTAGAGCCATTTTTAGGCGAAAAATAGCAAAAATTACCACGAAACCACCATCAATTAACTAGAGTGATGATTACGATACAACAAGGCACGTGTCAGACGACCTCACGCGAATGAATTTTACCGCTGACCAGATTGACTCTCCTCAGTCTTTTGTGGTGGTACTGTCGAGTCATATTATTCACTTTAATTTGTTGTTGAAACTGAAATAAATAGATCATTTTAAGAGCATTTTGGCCTAAATCCCCTTAGCTCCGAGTATAAAACTCTGTGTTTTAATCAAAAGCAAGCGACCGTAAATTGAATAAATGATTGAATAAATTTCTCTCAGTCGCTCGATCGTCCGGGCCTCTTGCTTCCTCAAATGATAGTCGAGTAACATTTTTGAGTTCAACTTACCTGAGATGACAGTTCTTGTACATTCACAGCTATTGGTTCCTTGCGACTGTTTTCTTGTGGTCGAGGTGGACGAACTCTGACAAAAACTTTGACCCTTCCAGAATCTGTGACGGGCAAAACAAAGCTTTCGTTGTCATATGAAAAACGACTTAAGTTATTTTTTAAGTGACTGAGTTTGATATTGGATGCACAACTGGCATAGTCTAAAGTAGTTCCGTTTGATGTTGAAACAATATCGAAGTAAAGCGCTTTTGTAATAATCAGACAATAATCTTTTTGGAAAACTAAAATCAGGAATATAAATAAATGAATGCTAACTGCGCTGGTCAATTCTAGAACAGTCAACTTATCTGATCAAGTTCAAGTAGTGTCAATCAGTTAATTTGTAAATCGCGAATTGTGTCAATTATTTTCAAGATTGAAGTCATGAAATATCGCTGGCAGTCGAATACTAAATACTTTGATAGTTTATGTCAGTTTTTAAGCGTTTATTTGCCACCGCTTACTCCCAGATCTAACTCAAAATCAAACCTGAATTTCAGAAACAGCTAGTTGGGGTGACTCACCTTTTCCAACCTTGATGCTGGAAGTCTTTTGTGCCTGTTTTTCTTCCTTCTGTGGTTTCATTTTAAAACTGCCGCTGGTCCACAAACAGTCTAGACTGGAGTAATTTCTTCATCAAAGCAGACACATGTACAAATTTAGAATCATATCAGATCACGGGACGACCTGGAATCCTAAGAAAAGCGAGCAAAGTGAAGAAAAGTTAGAGACAAACTCGGAAAATCGTATTACACCTCCTGGCAAGTATACGGCTCGCCTAGTATTGTGTATTTGTGGTCTCCTTATCATCGAAGGGGTAAAAACTGTATGTAAGTAGCCTCAGCCGATGTTCCAATATACATTAAAGTTGCTGTATTTAACGTCTAGTTGCTTGCGGTTTTTGATCAGCCGAGCCCAAAACCTCATTCGCATATTTCCAAGAGTTTGTAATCCTCTCAGCAGGCATGACTTATTTTAAGTTACTTGTAAAAATCAAATCATTTGATTTTCACTCATCCACAGCACAAGGTGTATGTTTATAAATTACATAAGCTCTGTTCTGCCTCAGCGGGGCTTGTATATAGACCAGCATTCGAAGGCCACTGGCCGAGTCGGTGGTCTTTGAGTACTCCATTGTTCAGTGGTCACCACGGGTGAAGACAGAATGTTTTATTTAAGCAAACGAGAACATGACTTTAAGAGGAAAAACGAGACTAATCATCCTTCACCCAACGTCAACGATATTCTCAACTAGAATCTAAATTCTCCTCAGTCAGCAAATTAAACTGCGTTGTTAACACAATATATTCGTTAGCACGAACATATTGATGGTCAGATGATTTTAACAAATATTTGAATTCCACAAATTTACTAGATAAAGGATCCGAAACGAAAATTCTTTTTTTTTTTTCATTATTCTGCAATTATTGCGAAATTAAAATTTCTCGTAGACGTTAATTTAGTTGTGATCAGTATTTTTAGTTATGTTTATGCTTGTAGAGCGAGTGTAATTCTCACAAAACTCGATGGCACCCTCATGTTAGTTACCTCAAATAACAAGCAAAATAACAAAACAAATAAATTGAGTAACACGAAATTATACAGAACTTTTACTTACATATAACTAATTGGATATTTGGTTATCACGTCAAAGAACAGACTATTAAATATATTGAAAACTACTTAAACTTTGCGTATTGGAGTAGTAATCAACAGTAACGTTGAAAACTCACGTGATATGTTAACGTACATTCTGTGTTATTTCGGCCTCAGCGATAAATATAAACTGTAACTTAATAGTGTAAAACAGGCTGACCTAGAAGTAATTATCGATTATCTCACTGAAATACACTGCCTGGTAGTTTTTGTTCACTAGTTCAGTGTGAAAACAAACGTTAAATATATTAAATCTACAGGAAAATTTGGTAGTTCCGGTACAGTCTGTAAACGACGGAAATTCTAAGTTTCCTGGACCCAGAAATATCGATCAGGAGATTGCAAAAATTACTGAATGTAAAAATGCGTATAAAAATTCCTTCAGTGCGCTGACACTCCACCCAAAGAAACTATATAAAATCATTTACCTCGCAAAGTAAAATAACCTGTTTTTGAATAACAAGTTAGCTACCGGCTGGACATTTCATATCTTCGATTCGATTCACCGCCTCAACATTATTTTTGAGGCCATGCGTTCTCTTTCCCGCCACAAAAGCGCCTTGAAACCAGCCACAAAGGATTGTAAACGCTTATCTTGTCAACAATTTTTATGTTGAAATACGCTTGTTGTGAAAAGTTAGATGGCGTAATTTCACACTCAGACCCAATGGCGAGTTAACACTGTAGTAACGTCAGCTATAATTATAACTTCGTTCAAGAATTCTAATGCAGAAGTAGGCGGAAAAAAATCATTCTAGAATGTTAACTTTAATTAAGCCATTTTTAACCAATATTTTGTTATCACTTTTCCAAATGAACTGTTTGTTTTTCGAACGATCCACATTACAGTTTTAAACTCTATCTTTGGGCTGAATTGTACTCCAAACGTGAAATAAATATTGAAATTATCGTGTGAACCGTCCTGGATATATATGCCGCAGGTGCACCAAAACGTTCTGTGATTGGTCCGCGAGAAATAACCGATACGACGGGAAGTTGGCTGAAAGACAGGCTGAGAGAATCTATTGTTTGAGAAAGTGGCAAGAAAATTGGCTCATCGTCAAGCTATTATAATATTTCTGAGTGTTAGAACGTTAGTATCTTACACGTAGGCAATGTGCTTTTTAGCCACAAAGAAATCGCCAGATTAATCTAAAATATTATTCCACCAAAGCAACTACAATTGCAATTCGTGACTAAATATTTTTTCGAAACCGCTACCTTAAAAGAAGATACAACCTACCGTACGAAGTATTTTGTAGGTCACCACCCATATATTCCCCGCTGAGCTTAGCAGCTAAATAAAGAGATTCTCTAAGATCAACGACAGGTCTGTGTCAAACAACTGCTCCGCATTGTAACGCTACTGAGTAGATAGTGCCGTTCTGAGAATGTTGTCTGTTGTAAATATTCTGGAAAGAGAGACCGTATTCAAATTATTGACGCGTCATAAAAATATTCCCTGACGATGGCTTTAATTAATCAATTCAAATCTGTCCTCTTTAAAGAAATCTGTCTGAGTATATTGAATTTTTAAACATAGCTGAATAAGCTGGAATAACTTCAAAACAATTCTAGCGTATATTATACAAAAATCTACCCTTACCCAATCAAGTCGACCTAATTAAGTTTTTTAGTTACAAAACGGGAATGAAATTCTCTACTGATAATCGTTTGCATATGTTAAACATCGTATAGCGCTTGTCCATAAGCTAACGTTTCTGTCAAAAATTCTTCGATATTGTAAATGATTGTTTATTTTCGAGGAAATTTGTCGAAGAAATGGGTGGGGCAAAATTCATGCCAAACGCAGTGGCATCGGGTGGTGTTCATTTACTTTTTTCTTCGAAGTAATTTAAGATTTTTATAAGAAACCTGGTAAAAAACTATATATATGCCTGCAATAAGTCTATTTTTAAGAGTTTATGTTATGATAAAAATGGGTTGAGCGGTCAATACTTTCTCGGATACAAGTCATGTGGGTGGGGCCATTTTAATGCCAGCAAGTTCCGGATTAATTTTATTTGTCGAGGTCTTCACCTGGCACAGCCTAGGCTCGATTGCCAGCCGCTGTTCAGGAAAGGAGCCCGCGCTCTACTACTTCTCGGGGAGGAACGTATAGACTGGAGTCGAGTCAACGGCGCATGCAAATCGAACCTAAGCGCTCGCCTAAGCGCAATATCGTGATTAATGTTATTATGCCTGGAAAAATATGTTGTTCTCAGGTAACCATCTTTTCCATAGATTGAAAAACCTGTCGAACTCAAACTCCACTCAGAGTCCTTCATTC